GGGTATGAGACCAAGTTTCAATATAACCGTTTTTCTCAGAATCAGTCACTTAAATATAACTTAGTAATCATTTATTGTTTATTTTAGTTTTTGCCAGTTTTTCTAGATCTAAAGAAAAATGCTAATGAACATAATATGCCTTCTCTTTCTAAAAAAAAAGGAAGTTGCCAGTGTTGTCATAAGTGATGTGATCCAGATAAATTGCCACTTAGGTTTGTGAGGTAGCAGAGACTCGACAACAACTTCTCAATCCTTCTTGGGTATGGAAGTGTTTCTAGAAGATTAGAGTTTGTAATATTTTACTACTGTTCCAAAAGGGGGAAATCAGGAAACCTAACCCCCGTACTTCAAAAACATATAGTGACGACAATCCCAAGCAGAAAACGGGTTCATAAATAATATCCATACAGATTTGTTAAAAGCAGATCGTATCATGAGTTTTTGATAAAATTATGGGAGCATTCATGTGTAGTGTGGTTAATGTGTACTGTATCAAATCACATAAAGATCATGTTTGATAAAGAAATTACTTAATAGATATTTTAGCAAAATAGATGCACCTGAAATTGAAGAGATGTTGGCAGCAAGGATATGAAAAAGACAATTATAGTGAAGGATTGTCTTTCACACTGGAAAGAAGTATACAGTGGTGCTCCCAGGATACCGAATGGTGTTCATTTACCTTTAAGACGTTAATAACCTGGATGAGGTGCAAAGTTTGCAGATGAGGACAGTGGTCAGACTAGTAAAAATGGCTAGATGCGTATAGGATTAAATTTAAAGCCAATAAGTGAAAGGTGATGCATTTCAGAATGAAATGGGTAGTATAAACTAAATGGTAAAATCTTAAAACAGGTGCAAGAAGACAGGCCCAAGCGTTTACAGCCAAGTTTTTTTTTAAAGGTGGCAAGACTAGTTGATAAAACTTTTTAAAAAATTACATAATGAGTGGCTTTGATTGACGCATAAGAGTATAAAAGCAAGAATGATATTATAATCAATGGTTAGATCTCAGTTCATTTGTCTTAACATCCTTTGGAAAGAACATCCAAGAACTGGATGCCGTACTTAAGCTGAGGTCTACACAATGATTTCTAAAGTGTGACGTAAATTATTTCTGTAAATTTAAATTCTTTACTGAAAACATAACCTTTTCTATGCTGGTTATTTAATGCAAACGCAGTAACATGTCTTTATAAAATGTCCCCGATATTAAATTCAAGTGGTGATTTATTTGTCAACCCGGATAGAGACATTTCATAGGCCAAATTAGGGAGGACATTATGACCAAGTAGGATTCTGTCCATTGCCAATTTAAGCATTTCTTCCCCTTTACCACAAAGGTCAACTAAATAACGATTAGAAGCAGGAATTTGGAGTTCTGACTCCTCCACCATCTGCCAAAAAACTGACAAAATGCTGATGTTACTTATGGTTTCCCCAGCCAAGACCCTGGCTGAAATATACTAACCCAGCACAGACCAGGAATCAAACATAACCATTCAGACCAGGAGATGCTTTGTACTGCATTGGTCAGTGCCTTCAACTATTCAACAATTAATGGATCTCTGTGTAACTTAGCTACAAATCAGTACTGTCCTATGTATTTACTTTGAGTAATATTGCAGTGTTGTAATGTAATTTAATTGATATGCTTTGGAAACTGTCTTCTTAAATCACATTTTATCTCTCTAGGTGTTTCATGAAGATGGAGAATGCTGGATATATGATGATCCATTGTTAAAGAGGTTAGGAGGCAATAGATACTAGGGTATTCAACAATGTCTGAATAGAGCACCATTTAAAGCCTTCGAATGAAAAAAAAACACCCTTTCACCTGACACAAAATTTTGTATCAAGATTCTTAAATTTAATAGAACTATATAGCTTTGTGGTTACACAAATGCTTTCAGTGAGGAAATGCATTTTTCACCTTTCATCTGATAATATTTTAAGTGGTTCCTTTCTCAGGGAAATTGGACTTTAAAAAGGTGTGGTGGAACAATTAGCTCTTGTATGATATTGTGAAAAAATTCTTTGTGCTATAGAATGGCTGTTGAGAATGTTTGCTCCTACTCCACATCAAAAATTTATAATACTAGTTGCAGATCTCCAAGTTAGATTTACAAGTTCATCTGCCAAAATCTGCGTATACATTGAAAACAATTTTAAAAATGTCAGAGGAAAAAAAATCTTGGATATCTGAACAACTAAGTGCACTCTCTGTATTGCCATTTTAGATGTTTAAAAAAAAATAACACTTCCATACATTGTGTTCAGTCAAGTCCTACGTGCACCCATGTAGGGCTTTACTAGAATGTTTCATTACTGCTTGAATCTCATTTCATAGATGTGTACATATACATATATATATAGAGAGAGAATTTCATTAATACAGTGTTTCAAGTGTACTGATGCATAAATGTTTATATATAGATTGTAAAATGAAAATGAAGCCACTGATTTTGCATTATAATTTAACACTGAGGGCCTTATTAATTTCAGAGTGTTACCTTTGATTGAAGTCTGTTAGAATTTTATCCAAGGATGATACCTAACTGGAATGTGTAAGGTGATTGCAGCTAGTTTTCATTCTTCTGTTTAATGGAGTAACAAAAAATAAACCTTCATAAAGTACATTTTACAGTTGTCATAATTAATTTTCATGGAGTACTTTAGTAACAGTGTGAAGTGCTTGTGAATGTATATTAATCATAAAGACTATACTCCTGAAGTGCTTTTCAAATGTAGTTACTATTGTATTTCAGCAACTTGTGCATCACAAGGTATGATTTTTTTTTCATTTAATTACACAAGTGGTGATTTATTTGTCAACGAGGATATTATGACCAAGTAGGATTCTGTCCATTGCCAATTTAAGTATTTCTTCCCCTTAAAGTAACCAGAAAAGATTAAACTGTCCACAAGTGTCAAAGCCCTAGGATTATTCTGCCCTTTGTGTAGTTAAAGTATGCCTTCAGGCACGTTAAAGGTTATCACTTCTGCTGGGCCTACCACAAGTTTTCAAGACAGCAAATATGTGGTGTATCAGCAGGAAGGTGTCAATTCCAGTGGGACCGCATTTTTCAGTGCCGCATTTAAAGGCCACCCCGGCAGGCCTTCCTCAGTGCTAGCCTGCAGCATCACCTCACCCTCCCTTCAAGATGTCTTATACCAGATCTGGCCCAAGATCCCACGAGAAAAGAGAAATTCTCTTCCCTGGGCAGCCATAGCTCACCTGGATCTCACTGCAGGTCAGTGCTAATAGCCTACACAAGAGGACCAGGACTCCGTGCAAGAAAAGGATGAACAGCCACCTGTGCTTTGTAAGGGTAAGTGGCAACATCTACAGACTGACACTCTTAGGGGTATCACTCGGTTTACCCATGACACTGCACAGACATGTCACACAGATTATCACCTGCTCTACCATTCAGAACTTCCCTGCCTTCCTACTCCATCGCTTTACTCAATACATTAATGCTTCACCTTGATAGAGACAATATACTTAATCTTCCCTAACTATGCCATTTCTATTTACCAGTGCTTATTTTTATCTGCTTCATTGCATATGTGGCTTTATATCAGAAGCAAACCCTTTGCAAGCAAGCCCTCTAGCCAAACTGAAGTAAACATTATCTAGTCAGTGCTTCCTATACATATATTTAACATTCTAACAGCATCTCCCAAACCATGATCTCCACCATGATTTGTTAAAAGGTAATTATTGCTAAGTAGGAAGGAACAGCATTTTGCTAATTGTGAGTTTTTTTCTTTAGCCTTCTTCAGCCAACAGTTCCCTGCGCTGTGATCAATTACTGTATTTTTATCCTACAGATGCAAGCCTAGAGTGCTGACACTAGTGCGAACACCTCTATTGTCCCAGATTACTAATAACCAGTACTACTCGCGGTAAACGATCATGAGCAGTAGAAACCAGTCCAATTGTCTCCGTTCCCAGTTGCTGTCTCAGCTGAGCATGAGTTAGTTCAGTCCACAATAGAATCAAATCTAGATGCTCCTAGTCACTCTCCCTGTTATCTACACTGACAAACATTGATCAACTGATGTTGCAGAAGAGCCACGTAGGCTTTTGATCAACTTCCATTTCATTACTGTGTTTGCAGTGGTTATTAGATAAACTGCAGATTCCTGCTCTCACATTTTCCAAAATTAACTTCCCACAAATACCTTGAGTGAAAAGTAGGGAAAATGAGTAGCTAGAAAAGAACAAAGATGTACTTTGTCACCACTGCAGCTCAGCAATAGCATACATTAATCTCAATTGAAAATGTACTGTAAGAATTAAACTTTCATTTCTTAGAATGGGTAACAGTTTGATATATGTTATATAGGTTTGTGACTAGAAAAGAACTGAAATGATGGCACTTCCAAAACAATTGTTTTCCAGAAAAAAAAATTCAATAATTTATCTTCGCATCTTACTCAAATAGGCAGACTCCTTTTTTGAAGATTAGTTCCTCGGTCTTCTGATAGGATACCATGCAAAACCTTCTAGACCTTTAGCCTAATATTCAACTGTATAAGATAGCACTCATGCCAGGCTGTTTGGAAGGAGATATTGCTGTTTTCTGATTCATTTATGATACAACATTAAATACAGGATGAACAAAGCAATCGTGCAACCTTGAAATGATTCTGATTTTTAAAATACATAATATAAATTGGTGAGTGCTGGACAAAGTGCCTCTCATTTCATTCCAGACCTTTTCATATCTGCAGAGCGGGACAAAATGATTATGTAGTTACAATCAAAATTCTTGTGCTGAAAGCACTCATCTAGGATACGTAACTCATCTTGATTTCCTGAATTTCCAGCACCTCAAAAGGAACTCAAACATGTAAAGAAATCAGATCCATGGCTATGTACATTCATGAACAGCTGATAGGGTTTTTTCCTCCTCTCACCTTCTCCTGTGAAAATATTTACGTAAATTTTAATTTTCACACAATATTTAGAGAAAACAGAGCAATGCCTCTATCATATGGGTCATATTTATTCTGGTTACACAACCAGTAATTCAGACATGAAAACTGAAACTTTCTGGCCACATATACCCCACCCACCAAAATTCTAAATCATTAAAACAAACAGTACATGTCCAAAATAATTCACTCAAAGATCGGTTTAATGGAGGATTTTTTTCTTTGCAAATGCATCAGTTTGGTCTTTGAAAACACTATCTTGTTTGAGAATTAATCATTGGTTGCTTGCCACTCAAAACTGTTATAAATAAGTAGGTTTAAACAGAGGTAAAATAGGCAAAACAATTTTATAAGTTTGATATTCCTCTCAACCAAACCCACTAGTTTAAAAACAGGTCTGCCAAACACATTTAACACTTAGAATGCATCCTCCTGCTTCAAAAGAGTACTCTTTAAGTGTTTTAAACGACACTTCCCAGAAAGCAATGACAAACCAAACTGCACAATTATTCAAATATTTACTGCTTTTTTTGCCTTAATAAATTCTGGTGCCAAGTGCATCATTATTAGGTGATCACTAAAATACAGATGTCAAAATACACTCTAATTAGCTAGTTATATTGACACAGTTGCATATGAAGTTGCACCAATTTATGGTGAAATGCTTCTCCTCTTAAAGCAGAACACCAAGAATCAGGATTTAATTTTATACGTAAACTGCATATTCTCGGAAACATTGCATACTCTTCCTGTGACCTTCTCCAATTGACAAACATCATTTCAAAATTTTATGCAAAGGGTAAAGTTTGAGTTTTGAATTGAATGCAGTTATATCGTCAATGGTGGTTGCCTGCCCCATCTGAGCAGACACAGGTAAGAAAATAAGGTGACACGCTTCTCCCTGCATGAACTTTGATTCACATAAGGTGACATCGGTTACATCTAGTTCATGTTGCCCATGTCCAGTCACCTGCAAAACATCAAACCAATAGGAATTGGTACGTTTGGATTTCCTCTAGTAAAATTACTGAAATACCAAAAACAAATTTCATTGTTGTTTCCATGTCATAGTACTCATTCATCCACTAGCAAACAATACAATGACAAAATTAAATGGTGTACAATTTCTAATTGCAGTGAAGTTGCATATCAAAAAGGCCTATGTGCTTAAAACAGAATTTTTACAAGATGACTTTGGCGGTAGTGTTCACCACTTGTAAACTGCACAACTGAATTTACAGTACAGGAAACATTTGGTAAAAATACAGAAATCAATTTGAAATGGATGATAAGTTTCAGAAACTATGCACATTACACTTGGAGGGGAGAGGGGTTTGGAAAATAATTGTGTTGAGGATTGTTTATATGCTAATCATGCTAGAACGTTGTGCCGTGAATAATTTATTTGTCAAACAAAATGTGACCCTGTAAACTGAAGAATAAAGCCGTTAATTCATTCATTGTATGGGAATCACTGCGATTATCTTTTTTCAATGAACAGCAGAAACAAAGTGCTTGAGAAACACAGCAGTTCTGGCAGGATCTGTGGAGATAAATCTGTTTCTGAGTCCAATAATGACTTTCAGAAAATGAAAGCAGCTTTTTTTTATGCTAGTGTTAGAGGGGAATGGGGAGGAGCAGCAGATGTTGAGCATAACCTCAGCAAAAAACAAAAAGGCAGAGAAATGGTGGTAAGAGAGAGACAGATGTAAAGTAACTATAAATGTTAGCTGTGAAACAGAACATTTGTCATTCTGCTGAGAGCCGAGCCAAACCAAGATACAAACAAGACACAGCCAGGGAGAGTAGGAAATCTAAGAAAAATGGTGTACGGAGGTGATACTCTGAAGTTGTGGAACACCATGTTCAGTCCTCGTGGCTGTGGAGTGCCCAAGTGGAAAATGAAGTGTTGTTACTCGAGCTTGCGTTGAGCCTCATTGGAACACTTTTAAAAATGCTTTTAAAGAGCGTTCTGGACCACTGCTAATGTTTAGGTGTTCACTACATTTTACAACACAAGTGCAGGTAATTTTCTGTCAAATCCATTCATAATCAACTTATTGTTGTCATTGGAGCAGTCAGAGTAGCTTGACAGAGTATTTTTCATGGATTAAACTAGGAACAAGTTCTAAAATTGCATGGTTTGACTATAAATACATTTGAGGAAATGCACTAATCATTCAAGTTGGAGGCATTTAAAACAACTTGTTCTTTGTAAGGACAGTAAATATGTTTGCAACTTAATGCTTAGATGACAACAGTAAATTACACTACAAGAAATACTCTTCTACATGAGATATTACACACTAATGTTCATTTGAAATCAAGAAGAAATCTAATGGATGCACTGGACTTACATGAATACTAAGTTTTTTACTCTTGTGTTCTTTGTGGGTTCTGAACCAATTCACCAAGTCTTCTTTGGTAAATGACTGAAGAGCTTGAATCTGTTAAATCAAAAGACGTATGAGGATAGCAACACATTTGTCACTGTTCATAATGTAATCACAATTTTGATATCAATATTAATTAAAAGAAAACAAGACTTCTAAAAACTTTCTACAAATTGCCTACAAAGAATCAAAGGTGGTGGACAGAGGTATGTCAATAGATGTTTATATACACTGCTAGAAGGATTCTGATAAATTCCCACACAAGAGACACTTAGCTAAGGTGGAAGCATAAGCAATTGAGGGCACATTATTGATATGGATAGCAAAATAGTACTCAAAGTTGCAGGACATAACTACTGGTGTCTCACAGAAATGTGCTGGGGCCTCAATTATTCACAATATTCATTAACAACTTGGGATAATGGCATAAAGTCAAAAATCCAAATTTACTGATGACACAATTGGATAGCATTGCAGTCAGTGTTGCCGACAGCGTAAAATTACAACATGATATCGTTAGATTCAGTGAATGGGCAAAGCTGTGGCAGATGGATTTTAATAAGTAAGAGTGAGGTATCCATTTAAGACTGATGAAGGGTAGATCAGGGTATTTTGTACTTTCTAAAACCTAAATATAGTGGATGTCCAACAAGATTTAGGAGTTCAGGTATATAGGTCTTTAAAATGCCACAAACGTGCAGGAAATATTCAAGAAGACTAATGGAGTGCTGGTCTTTTTATATAAAGCACCAGAGTACAAAAGGTGCAGATGTTATGCTGCAATTATATATAAGACCCCTGTTAGAGCCACTTAGAATACTATAAGCAGATCCAGGCATCAGACCGTAAGGAAGGATATTTGGGCCATGGAGGGAATTCAACACAGGTTTACAAGGATGACTACCTACTTTCATATAAGCAAATAGGATACGTTATACTATGCCCCCTCCTCCATGTAATTATTATAGATAATTAGGTCATTCCACTAGTTAGGTCTTTCCAAGCTGAAAAGACCCATTAATTCTGACTGTGTGTGTTAATTTATTCCCACTCCTTGTTACTGGGTGTAAATGTATTAGCAAAAGCTCATATGCTGTGCCATAAGACAGATGATGTCAGGTTAATGACAGATGTTCGGCTACTAAGCTACCTCTTCCTGCCCTACCACTACCATCAGCTCTTGAACAGGGGAGGCTACGTTAGTGGTTCTCAACCTGCTGGAACCGTTCTGGAATCCAGCAAGTTGTGGAATATTTTGACCAATAACTTCACTATCATTGCAGTTACTTCCTTTAAACCCTTGGATGGAGGCCCTCGGGTCCTGGCAACTTGTCTGCTTTCAATCCAATTTGCTTGTCAATACTTTGTCCCTTATGCTAAAGCCGGTTATGAAATCTTCCCTCTCACTAGCATCGCGCTTATCTGTTATCCTTTGTTTCTGCTGTCCTCCTGAGAATTGGTAAGTGATTTGAAATATCTGCTTAATTTTCTGCCACTGCTCAGCCTCTGACTTTCCCTTTAGTCTATTTTTCCAGCCTGCTTTAGACAACTCTTTCTTCATATCTCTCTCTGTTAGAACCCTTAGTTAATCTGAGGACATTGGTTTGAGTCTCTCAAACTGAATTTGAAATTCTACCACATTGTAATCATTGCATCCTGAAGGACTATGAGATCTCTTATTAATCCTACCTCGTCAAACCAGTTAGAAAACAGGCCATCTTAGACTGGGTATTGCGTATTGAGGAGGGAATCATTGCCAATCTGGCCGTGCAAGACCCCTTCGAGATAAGCGACCATATTAGCTGATAGAGTTATTTTTAAATCAGGATGGACAGCGAGGTAGTTGGTCAGAGACTAGGGTGCTGAATCTTAAAAAAGGAAACTATGAAGATATGAGACATGTGTTGGCCTTGATAGATTAGGGAGAGTTGACAGTGGATAGGCAATGGCAAACATTCAATGAACACATGGGGGAACTGCAACAACTGTTTATTCTTGTCTGGCACAAAAGCAAAATGAGTAGGAGAGCCAATCCATGACTTACAAAGGAAATTAGAGATACAGTGTCTGATCTAAGGAAGAAGCATACAGATTGGCCAAGAAAAATAATATGTTTGAGGACTGGGATCAGTTTAGAATTCAGCAAAGAAGAACCAAGGGATTGATTAAGAAGGGGAAAATACAGTACGAAAGTAAGTTTGCAAGGAACATAAAGACTGACACTAAGGAGTTTCTATAGGTACTGCAGTTTCTATATATCTTTCTATAGAAAGGTATAGGAAGATGAAAATGGAGAGAGGCAAAGAAAAGACCGGAGATTTGTTTTTTTTTTTGTGACTGAAATTGGTAGTAGAGAAGCCACTTTCAGATGGGAAGATTTTGTCAGGGGAGTTTATCTGAAGGATGAGTTTGAGGACAGGTTAAAGATCAAAATCAAAATCATTAGGTTAGGATTTACTGCATACAAAAACACAGGATACCGATTGAAGATGATGGGAAAAAGTGACGTGTGTTATTTAGGAAGAGGTGCCAGAGCAATACGTAAAAAGAAAATGTGTTTTGATTATTTGAGCCAAACTGCTATTATGGTGGTTTCAGAGGATACAAATATTTAGTACAGCCAGCAGAGCAAGTGTAGCAAGAAGCAAGAGATTGTTCAGTATTTTTTTCTGTTTAACTGGTAAAGGATGAAAAGCACAAAAGAATTAGAAATTTTAATGCATTTCTCTTGGATTTCCCATCTGGTTAGCTCTCAGTTGAAATCTAACATCTTTAATCAATTAAAAGTGCAGGTATGTTGGTGTGGTCTACCAGCAAGATAATGGTATATTAAGAAATTGGAATAACAATTGTGTTAAGTGACAAAACTTAATATACAAACAAAATCATTTAGACTATATCTGTTGAATCAAGTATTCATAATTATGTTGCTTAAATTTATTATTTCTGCTTAGTATGTTATTTTAATACCTCGTGGACAAGCCTGTCGAAGAGATACTGTTGTGTAAAAACTTCATCCCAGTTTCTGTCGACTTCTTCTCCCAGATGTGTATCTTCACACAGTTTAAGTTTAATCAATGCTGTAACCTGTTAAAATAAAAAAAAATTGAGTTTGTGATCATGAAGAATTTAACTTGGTATGCTGGATGCTTGAAACCATAGATTACTCAGGTTCAAGTATCGTATTTCTCAAATTAAGCTATCCTAAGAAGCATAACGGGAAGGAAAAACCAGTGAAATATACTTTTCCCTTCAATAATTTACAGCTTGAACGTTTGGCCTGTGGGTCATTATATAATCAGTATTTCCTAAAAAAAAACTGACTAGCATTCTTTAAAAGACTGTAGAGCTGTGAAGGTAATACATGATACCACAATTAATAGATCAAATGGAAGTTCTGCAGTTTTGTGTCATTCAATCATGGATTGAGGGGTTCCTCTGTAACATAAGACCTCAGGTAATAGGTTCCACAGCAGTTACTTCCTTTCATTAGCTATAAACACTTCCAATGGGTTGTTATGTTCCATAAGCTCATGTCACAATTATCTAGCATCGTGTAACCTATGTTTTTCTAATTTACTGTTTGTAACCAGCACAAGATTTAAGGTGAAGGGCAGCAGGTTTAGAGGGGATGACAGATTTTGTTTTGCACCCAAAGGGTGGTGGGAATCTGGAACTCAACTGTCCATAAAAGGATGGTAGATGCAAAAACCCTCATGACAATCAATTCCCTCAAACCATAACGGACAGGAGTCTCAAAGACTTTGACTAAGGCAGGAAGGAGAGGTGCTTCTTGTTTCATAGTGGTTTCAGCCCATGGCAATTGGGATCTGAAGTGCATTTGAGAAAACAGGGAAACTAAAACAAAATTGTCAAGTGAACATGTAAGATTTGCCCACTGTCAAGTTTTAATTTAAGTTTCAGTAACCATGGACAAATACTAGATTTAATGTTCATGTGTGTTTTGGCTACTGTCTTTCAGGTTTAATTTCAAACAGTTTTAAAATTATATACTTTGTTCATGTTACAAACAGCAATGATGAAAGTTAAAAGTTAGAATTTATCATGAAACCTAATTGTACAAATTTAAAACCCTTTGTTAATGTAGTTCACAATAATGATCCCCAAATGACCTACAAAGTGAGAATAACTTAAAATTTGATGATCATTGGAGGTCAGTCAAATTAAGTGGATCAATAACTTGCATTATGTAGCACTTTGAAGATTGTAAATAATTCTAAAGCACGTAATCAGTAAAATTGATACTGAATGAAAGAAGGAGCCACGAAGACAAAGTACCGAGGAAGATGCTGAAGCACAGAGTTAGAAAGGCAATTCTAGAACTTTTGGTGGGCATATGCACAAGAGATCATAACTGCAAGAATATCAGAGCAGAAGGAAGTTAAGGATAGAGGGGTGAACAGTGAGAATTTTAAAATCAGGACATTGGCAAACCAGAAGCAAATGTGGGTCATAAATTTAATTTCATAAAGTTGGGCATGACATTGGTTCTGGATGAGCTTAAATTTATGGAGGCTGGAAAACGAGAGGCCAACATGAGTGTACTGGAATATTTGAGAGTGGAGATAACAGCAGCAAAATAAGAGTTTTAATAGTAGAAGAACTAAGGAGTGGCTGATATTGAGGTATTGAAGCATTCTGTGTTGGAGAGAAAATAGATTTGGAATCTCAGCTCGTGGCCATATAGGATGGTGCAGCCTCAGATAGTCTCGGCGAAAAGAGATCAAAATCAATAGCTAGGAAACAAAATTTGTGAAATGAGCAAGAGACAATGTTTTCAGTTTACCCAATATTTGATTGGAGGTTCCTTGTCTCAGGCAGGATTTGACATAGGGTAACCAGTCTGACAACACAGAGGCAGTGATAAGGTTGAAAAGAGGTGTGGCAAGTTAGAGCTGGGTGTCAGGGAATTAATGTGTCTGTTGATAGTATCATTTTTTAAAAATTCATTCATGGGATGTGGTGCTGGCTGGCCAGCATTTGTTGCTGGTCCCTAATTGCTTTTGAGATGATGACATTGAGCTGCCTTCTTGAACCAATGCAGTCCACCTGCTGTGGGTTAAACCAGAACGCCATTAGGGAGGGAATTTCAGCATCTTGACCTACTGACAAAGAAGGAACGGCAATATATTTCCAAGTCAAGATGGTGAGTGACTTGGAAGGGGACTTGAAGGTGGTGGTATTCCCATGTATCTGCTGCCCTTGCCCTTCCAGGTGGAAGTGGTCGTAGGTCTGAAAGGTGCTATGCAAGAATCTGTGGTGAATTTCTGCAGTGCATCCCGTAGTTAGTACACAATGTTGCTACTGAGTGTCAGTGGTGGGGGGTGTGGATGTTTGTGGATTTGGTGCCAATCAAGCAGGCTGCTTTGTCCTGGTTGATGTCAAGCTTCCTGAATGTTGTTGGAGCTGCATTCATTCAGGCTAGTGGGGTGTATTCCATCATACTCCTGACTTGTGCCTTGTAGATGATGGACAGGTTTTGGGGAGTCAGGAGGTGAGTTATTCACTACAGTATTCGTAGCCTTTGACGTGTTCTTGCCGCCACAGTGTTTATGTTGTGAATCCAATGGAGTTTCTGGTCACTGGTAACCCCAAGGATGTCGATAGTGGAGAATTCAGTGATGGTAACACCATTGAATGTCAAGGAGTGGTGGTTAGAGATTGTCTCTTATTGGTGATGATCATTGCCTGGCATTTGTGTGGCACGAATGTTACTTGCCACTTGTCACCCCAACTTTGGATATTGTCAAAATCTTGTTGCATCCGAATATGGACTGCTTTAGTATCTGAGGGATCATGGATGGTACTGAACATTTGTGCAATCATCAGCAAACATCCCCAACCCTGACTTTATCATGGAGAGAAGGTCTCATCTAAATGAGTATGTTTTAGATATATTCATTGTAATTTTTCTGTAACTATTACAAACAATTTTTCAAATTAAACCATATTCAAATGCACTAAGAAGACCTGGACAACATCCAGGTTTGAGCTGACAAATGGCAAGTAACAAGCAATGACCATCTCCAACAACAGAAAATCGAACCATCACCCTTTTACATTCAAGGGTATCACTAATGCTGGATTTCCCACCATCAAAATCCTGGGGTTTTTCATTGTCTAAGAACTAAACTAGATTAGACATATAGATACTGTGGCTAAAGAGCAGATCAGAGGCTAGGAGTCCTACAGCAAACCTCCTAACTCTCCAAAGCCTGTCTACCATTTACAATGCAAATGTCTTGAGTCTGACGGAATTCTCCCCAGATGTTTGGATTAATGCAGCTTCAAAAACAATCAAGAAGCTTGACACCATCCACTGTAAAGCAACCTGTTCAATTGGTGCCACATCCACAAACATTCACTCCCTCTATAGTTGACACGCATGCATCTACAATACCATCGACCAGATACATTGAAGAATTCATTAGGATTGCTTCCACAGCACCTTAAACTCTCAACAACTACCATCTAGATCAGGGCAGCAGATCCCTGTTACACAACCATCAGGACTTGGAAATATATTGTCATTCCTTCACTATTGCTGAGTCAAAATTCTGGAACTCCCTCCCTGATGGTACTGTAGATCTACCTAAAGTAAATGGACTGCAGCCATTCAAGTTGGTATCTCAGCACCACCTTCTCAAGGGCAACTGGAGATGGGTAATAAATGCTGGCCCAGCCAGGGATGCCCATATCTCAGAAGTGAATTTTAAAAGAAGGTATCAAAACTTGCTTTCATGAAAGCCATATTGAATTCCTTATAATATAGTTAATCTTCCTCACCTGAGAAGAGAAAGAATCTTGACTCATTGTTGCTAGCTTTGCAGAAAAGCTCTGAAGAAATTCTTCTATTTTGTCGTCCACTAATTCGGTGCTGTTTAAGATTTTAAATGCAATTAAAATTTAAAATTGCAAATCAGTAAAGATATTGGAAAATAGGATACTCTAAACAAAGATATAAAATGATATTCAAATGTGTAACAATTGAGAGTGGGAAAGACTGAGTTTCCATTTAATTAATAACAAATAGATGAATTAGCATAAGGTGATGTTAGAAAATATCCATGAATTCACCAGACACCAAGCACAATGCAAACAAGGTTTGACACTTCATACAATGTCACAAAGTGGGGGGGACTAAACCCTCATACTATTTTATCTTGGAATCAAGCTGGATCTTCAGTTTAGATTGCAAATGAAAAATCATAGTGCTTAGATTAACAAAGATGACACAATGGTGGATGCTCTTCTGAAGTTGAGGTATGGATGCATTACTCAGCATTGTAAAATGGCATCAGAGTCTCTATTTGGCTGTGTTCTACTTAACTGGGACTACTTGTGCCAGTCCTGGGTTATAATTGGTAGACATTCTCTATCCCTCAGCAAGCAAACACTTACTTAAAAAGGCTGTCGTTCAAGAGATATCATGGATTGATCCCATCTACATTATGAAATGACAGAGTAAAATTTTGTACATAATCTCAACTCTATAACGATTGTACCAGTGTTGGAGCAAAAGTAATACCGGACAAAATGTGGGAACACGTTGCTTCTACACCCCTCTGTTAGAGGGTTCAAGGTGATTACAGACAAGAGAAAATATCCGCACAGTCGTATAAATCCGCCCTGAAAAGCTTCACAATTCCAACAACGGCTACCTTTCTTAATTCTATGAATAGTTCAATTTCTCTCTTTCTAGAACAGAACACTGAGCAAGAAAACCTGAGAACAGAAGCTCGAAGGAAATTTAATGACTGTTGGTATTTGGTATTTCAGCTAGAAAAATGGTCAAAGTCCCATGTTGTTTCTTTTAAGGAAAGCCTGCTGTACTTTATGTCAATCAGGTACTTCTAAGGATACCCAACTTTCCTCTGGAATTGGGTCCCACCTGCCAAGAGGTGCCTGCCAATCAAAGGCAAGCAGCTCCTGTATTTGGCAACACCACAGAGCAGGCAGTGGTAGCTGCCAAAATAGCAATCCACAATCAAACCTGGGTCTCCCACCCTGAACTTAATTTGGAAAGTAACAAGGATGTGGTGAAGATCAGATATACCACCACATTACCAAATTCAATATCCTTCCTGCCTCCTAGCTCGCCACTTCTGGCAGCACAAGGTTCCTTCCAATAATGGAGCACAGGAGGGTAAAGACGAGAAACTCTTCCACTCTCCCCTAATTACAAACTGTGGGTTGGGGAGGTGGTTGTGGGGGAGGGTTTACCATTTTATTTGATGCTATACTTTAAAAATGCTTGCACAAAAATTAATATTCAAGTCATTCCACTTCTGTAATCTTCAGTGATCCAATGCCTTATTCATAACACAGATACACTATAAACAAGACTCACTTAAACTTCGATGCCTGAGTTTCCACTGTAACAGAAAATCCCAAGATTCCAGAGGTATTTCGGCAGGAAGGATACACATGGTATCTGAAATACAGAACATAAAATGATATGAAGAAAGCCATTCTTGAACTAATAAAATAAGCAAATAACATATATTAATAAGCTGCACACTCTAGTTGTTTGCTGTAGTGGTGAGCAATTTAATGGAATATACAATAGGTTAGGTTTTTGTCAGGGCAAAGAAGAAGCTACATTTAAGTAAACCACGTACCTTCCTGTTAATCTTGACTAAAATTGATTTAATAAAACAATGACCGTTTTATGCAAGTATTTGAGGTTCGCTTGTATCTGCAAACCTATTAAGTCACTAACCTGGGCTATGTAAGCCTTAAGATAGACACAGAAGTGTCATGAGCATTGTAGCAGTTCAGAAAGATCTGAACAGACAAACATACTATCAAATTTTCTCAACCAGTTGCAAACATGGTGAAAATAATTTTCCAAATCATTTAGTCTTGTAAACAAATAAAATAAACTAATAACTCCTCATTGTGCAAGGAGAAGAAATACAGGGCTTTAAGATTTTGTCCTACTATTAATCAACACAGCAACGTTTCTTTACTAGTTCAATATTACCATGCATTTTGAAAAGAATCTTTGTTAACAAAATAACTTTGTTGTACCTAATTTGTCTCTTCCATATTTTAATTCTTGATTCATGTTTTCCTCATTTACTGTTTATAACCAGTGCAAGAATGTTGTCTGTCCAAACTAAACTATGCATATTTAACATTAATCTTCAAATGTGAACTGGGACCCACAATCGTAAAATTTTGTAGAAGGTGATGATTACTTAACACTATGGTGAGTGTTCCATCAACATTCCCCTCTTGTTCCTTTAAGATCCAGTTACACCATCCTATTACATGTTTGTATTCCTATATTCCCAATGTTTTGGATTCAAGAATTAAGTACATAGTTTTCCATTCTAAACTGTGAAACAACTTAGTCCTTTATTCAATTTAAACCCGAAGTCTGACATAATTTAAGCAGAATGCTGTGGATGCTGGAGATCTGAAATAAATGCATAAAATACTCGGGAAACTCAATAAAGTCTGGCAGCATGTATGCAGAGAGAAAGAGTTAACTTTGAGTCCAACAAACAGTCATTTTAGACTCAAAACATTAGCTTTGTTTCTCCCCACGGATGCTGCTCCCGGGCCAGCGACTTTTTTCTAGCACTTTTGATTTACATAGATTTTTCATTATTCTTTGCAATCTTCATGGCATCCCGCAGTACAGGTGCTTAGTTCACAGTACTTTATCAGTAAATTAGAAAACAAAAATCTTGCTGGCAGTGATCCTGATATACTGCAAATTATTAAGCGTGAACAGAAAAATACCAACCCAAGTGTTTCTTTTGTCCTTAGAAAATCAAAGCAAGGTTCTTCCATATGCATCTGAAATCCAAGCAGAAAAATCTTAAAAAACAAAAAATACTTTGTTCTCAATGAAGTAGTTTTTATTAAATTCATTCATGGGATGACATGGGCACCACTGGCTGGGCCAGCATTTATTGCCCATCCCTACTTTACCTCAAGAACATGGCGGTGAACTGTTTTCTTGAAATGCTGCAGTCCATTTTATTAGGGAGCGACCTATAGGATTTTTACCCAGCAACACTGAAGGAATGATGATATACTTCCAAGCTAGGATGGTGAGTGGCTTAGAGGAGAACTTGCAGGCAGTGCTATTCCCATATATCTGCTACCCTTGTCCTTCTAAATGGTAGTGGTCATGGGTTTTGAAGGTGCTGTTCTTGTAGCCACAGTATTTGTATGGCTAGTCCAGTTCAGTTTCTAATCAATAGTAATCCTCAATATGTTGATAACGGGGGAATTTGGTGATAGGAATGCCATTGAATGTGAAGGGGTAATGGTTAGATTCTCTAGAGATGATCATTGCCTGGCACGTGCATTGCATGAACGTAACTTGACATACATCAGCCCAAGCCTGGATATTGTCAAGGTCTTGCTGCCTTTGGACGTGGCGCACTTTGGCATATGAGGAGTCACAAATGATGCTGAACGTTGTGCAATCAAGAAATATCACCATTTCTGACCTTATGATGGATGGAAGATCATTGATGAAGCAACTGAAGACGTTTGGGCCTAGGATACTAACTTAGGGAACTCATGCAGAGATGTCCTGGAACTGAGAAGACTGACCATCAACGACCATCAACTCTGACTCCAACCAGTGGATAGCTTTCCCCCTATTGTTGACTGGCACTTGTTTTGCTAGGGCTCTTTGATGCCACAATCAGTCAAAGGCAGCCTTGATGTCGAGGGCAAGCATTCTCAGTGCGCCTCTGAATTCAGCTGTCTTGTCCATGTTTTAACCAAGTTTGTAATGAGGTAAGGAGCTGAGTGGTCCTGGTGAAACTCAAAACTGAGTGTCAGTGAGCAGGTATTGCTAATCAATTGTTGTTCGACAATACCATTGATGACCCTTTCCATCGTTTTACTGATGATTGAGAGTCAATATTTATTGGTGGGTTGGATTTGTTTTGCATTTTGTATACAGGAGGTACCTGGGCAGTTTTCCACACTGCCAGGCAGATGCCAGTTCTAGTGCATTTCCCTTTTAAATTTGCATAGAATCGTGATATATAATGTATTTCATGAATGCAAATTTCACTGTATGTCTGTAGGAATTGGGAGATTTATTTGAAACAGAACTCTTACCAACTAGATACAGACAAAAGAAGAACTCCAACTGATTATTTTTCTAGTCTGGAGCAAACTTAGCTAAACATCAATGGAATGCTAGAACAGACCTCAGTTATCCTGTATTAGGGAAGCTTGTAAATACAATCAACTGTACTGCTATTCCTAGTTGCTACCCAATGACACAAGAAGGAAAGTGCCAGTGTGCAGACCACAAGAGATGTCAAGATCAATTCACAATGCACAGGCTCGTTTGAGAACAGAAAAACTGCATTGGCTGCTAATGCAATGAAACTACACTTTGTCATGAGGTATATTATTCCTAAAAGAAAAATCAATATAAATTACAGATTTTGTTTTTACATTCACTAATGGAACATGGACACACCAGCTGTCTGAAGTTGCCTTTGAGATGGTAGTGGTGAGCTGCCATCTTAAACGACTGCAGTCCATCCTGCTGTAAGTTGACTCTCAATACCATTAGGGAGAGAATTCCAGGATTTTTTAATCCAATGACAGTGAAGGAACAGTGATATGTCTCGAAGTCAGGATGGTGAGTGACTTGGAAGGGAACTTGAAGGTGGTGGTATTCTCATGTATCTGCTGCCCTTGTTCTTCCAGATGGAAGTGGTCATGGGCTTGGAAGGTGCTGTGTATAAATCTTTGGTGAATTTCTGCAGTGCATCTCGTAGACAGTACACATCACTGTTACTAACAGTCAGTGTGGAGGAAATGCATGCTGGTGGATGTGGTGCCAATCAAGCGGGCTGGTTGGTGTCAAGTTTCCTGAACATTGTTGGAGCTGCATTCATTCAGGCAAGTGCGGAGTAATCCATCGTACTCCTGACTTGTGCCTTGTAGATGATGGACAGGCTTTGGGGAGTAAGGAGGGGAGTTATTCACTGCTATGTTCGTAACCTTTGACGTGTTCTTGTAGCCACTGTGTCCATGTCATGAGTCCAGTTGAGTTTCTGGTCAATGGTAACTCCAAGGATGTTGATAGTAGGGGATTCAGCGATGGTAACAACACTAAATGTCAAGGGATGATGATAAGATTATCTCTTTTTGGAAATGGTCACTGCCTAGCATTTGTGCGGTGTGTATGTTACTTGCCATTTGTCACCCCCAGTCTGGATAGTGTCTAGATCTTGGTGCATTTGAACATGGACTGCTTCAGTATCTGAGGAGTCATGAATGGTACTGAATATTGTGTAATCATCGGCGAACATCTCCACTTCTGATCTTATGATAGAGGAAAGGTCATTGATGAAGCAGCTGAAGGAGATTGAGTTTCATATCAATTGTGGAGAAAATATTTTGGATGACAGGCCAAACCAAGGTGACATGGCCTTGATATATATTCAGTTTTCCAAAAGCTTTTGACAAAGCCCCAGAAGAGAAATTAATGATTGAAAATATGGGTCCAGAAACAGAAAGTAAGTTATTGAACAAAAATTGACTCAATGGAAAACAGAACATTTCCATGAAGTGCACTGCTCAAGTTGAAAATATTGTAATATTGGGTTACATTATCTTCAGAAGAAATTGTCCTTGCAAAGTGGAACTGTGCTAAATAGGTTGTATTCATCCCAAGTTATCCTGAAAAGCTGGTATCATGCTTTCTTATGAACCATTTTAATGGACTTGGGAGGAAAGAAAAGTTCTGAAGAAGGTTCACTGGTGTCTCTCTGCAAATGCTGCCAGATCTGCAGAGTTTCTCTAGCAATTTCTGCTTTTGTTTGTAATTGTCTTAGGTCTTATATATTCTTGAAATCTTTTTGTACACAAATAAATTTATTAATAAGTGAAGATGTTTGTATTGTATTTATTTATCTAATTTCAGCAATTGTAACATTCAATGGTTATTACTGGAACAAAGGAGAATGTTTGTTTATTTTCACAGTTATTTCAACAGAAAACACATTCTACCACATTATTGAAACAAAAATTCTAAATAAACAAAATGGGTAACCGAGCAAGATATTTGGAGATTATGGATGGTGTTGAATGGGATTAAAATGGACAGTTTCAGATGAAGAATAATGTTCAAGATAGCGTATGAACTATATTGTAACATTAAGTTTTATAAAACAAGCAAACCCTCCCAAGTTTACAAATACCATCAAGATATCAACTAAGCAAAGTAACGAAGAGAAAGATCACCACTATTTGACAAACATTAATGTGATTGCAATCATTCTTTCAACCTTTGCGATGTTTTAAATTCTAATGTCACGTAGGAAAAAACTTAGTACAATTCACTTACAATAAGTAGTTCCATGAGAGCATAATCCTTTACTTTCCGAGGACCTGACTGAGAAGCAAGATTAAAGTTAACTGATGGTTCTTAAACTCTTAATGATCATATAAAGATAATGAACAGAACTTCAAAATGAAAGGGCAAAGGCCCATATAATAAAGTGTCAAAGTTGGCACCTGTTTTTACTTTAATATTGATATAGTTGTACTATATATAGTTTTACCTGTTAACAATACATATTTTTAAAAAAATAGTATACATATAAAACATTAATCAATTGTTAAGAAGTTTATATTGAGCAAAGTTATAAACTATAATGTTAAAATAAAGATCACATTGAAAATATTCTCTAAAAATTTACTATAGTAACAAAGGAATACAGGGAAAGACTGACACAATACGAACATCAAGATTGTGTTGTTCTGATCTTTTGAATACGTAAGTGAGTGCAATTTGGATGTTAATGTCACTCTTTCAGTAAATACAAATGCATTTTTTGATACTTTAAGCCTTCTTGACTTTGCCATAATTATGGCATGAACATTGCTTGTGAATGTACATGTGAATATTACAGCATAAAAGATGTTTCAATAAAAGTAATATTCAAAGCAGGTGCAGTTACACTTCTCAATGGAAAAATTGTGTTTGCTATCTCAGACTGGTTATATTAAAGGTGCTGAGTGATGTTAGTTATGTTCTCAAAGGGAAAAGCAAGGGACTTGTCATCAAATGTTGTTTATTACAGGTAAGTGGTAGTCACATTAACCACAAGCAGGGTTAATCGGACAGCTTAAATAACTAAAACAAAGTGAAAAACCATGAATTACTTTTAGTTACCCACCTGGTAATACACAGTGACCTCCGAATTTGCATCATGTTTGTTGAGAGAACTCACTTTACACACATGTGCTTTATTCGGTAATTCCACTACTTTGAATTGGACAGGTACTGACTTCACCAGTGGCTTACACTGCAGCTTCCTGTTACATAATTAATATATTTCTTATTCACGATCAGAAGCACAGTAATAAATATCTAATTTTAAAAATCTAGCATGAGATAACTGAGTAAATATATATTAATAAATACAAATGATCCCTAGTAAGCCAAGGCAAATCAGTTTTAAAAAGTGGTGGACAAAGTTTTAGAAACAGTAGTCAAGAAAGAAAAATAACAGGCACTTAGAGACATTTGGGTTAATTAAGGAGAGTCAGCACAGATTTGTCAAAGACTGATCACTTTTAATAAATCTAACAAGATTTTCATGGATAAACAGAGACTGCCAACAACAGACTACAATAAGAAAGTAAAACTTGAAGGATGTATTTAATGAAGTGACTCATAAATGTCTACTTAACAAAATGGAGGCTTATGCAATAGGAAGGTCACTGTTGGCTTGAATAAAACAGCAGCTAAAGGACAGAAAACAGCAAGTCATAGTAAACAGATCTTCAAAATGGAAGACAGTAGACAGCTATATACCCCAAGGGTCAGTTTTGGGGCCACTTTCTTTTTGATATTTTCTTGGATGACTTGGATATTGGAATATACAATAAAACTTTAAAAATTGACAATAATACCAAACTGGGAGATTTCACACACAAAAAACATGATGCCAATGCACATCAACATGACATAAACAAGAAAAATGGATAGACAAATGGCTGATGGAATTTAACACAAGTAGTACGAGCTGGTGCATTTTGCAGTGGCAACTTAACCTGAACATGCGGGGCAGAAGGACCTAGGGATTCACATGCTTTGATCGTTAAGCATAGGAAATAGGAGGACTAGGCCATTCAGCCTGTTGAGCCTGCTTTGCCATTCAAACAAATCGTGGCTGATCATCTACATCTACATCATTTTTCCCACCACTCCCATATCCCTTGATGGTATTTCTACATTGAAGATGGCAACACATGTTGAAAGAGTCCTGAGCAAGGCATATGGACCTTGGGCATCATAAATAAAGATACTGCAAGATAGAAAACTACGGAAGTTATAATAAAAGTGTGAAATCTGGTTATTGCCTAAGTGGAATACTCTATGTAGTCCAGGTCACCACACTTTAGGAAGACCATGACAGTAATAGAAGAAGTGCAAAGGAGATTGACTTAAATAGTTTCAAGGATGAGGAAATTGAGATACAAGGCCAGGCTAGAGAAGCTGGGGTTGTTCACCTTGGAACAAAACGAGGTTGAGGGGAGGTCTAACAGAAGTGTGCAAGTTAGATAAAAGGTAGACAAAAGAATATCTCTTCCCAATAGCTGATGGTACAAGGATAGATAGTAGAGTTAGATTTTGTTTACAAGAGTATATAATGTGCTATTCATTGGAATAATGCACCAAAGAATCAGTATGAATTTAGGCGTTACAGACTAAATGCTTAAAATACCACAAAAACAAAGTACTTACTGTACAACATAGTCTAGAAATTCAATAGACTCCTTGGGAGAGAAAAAAACTGTTAGTTTCATATAAAAATTTCATGATTATTTATCTGAAAGCAAAAAATGTCATTTGATTAAAGTGAATAAAGCAGGTTCACAGTACATATACAGCATTAGTATTTATATATGAAATACCTTATGCCAGAATGGATTTTAAGTGTGGTTAAATGTGAGTGGTGATTTTCTTCCCAGTGATATATAAAAATATACGTATGTCAATACTTGCAATTTCCTACATAATGATATCGGAAAACCACTCTGTTACGGCCTCATTTGCTTTTAATCAGCGAAGTCTTAATGGTATCGGCAATAGTTTCGGGTTAGGTCATATGCCCACATGTAGGAGTTAAAGTGATAAAGGAACACACCAGCATTATAGATCATTAATAAAGTACAACTCAGGGGTACAGGGAAGAAAATTAATGCCAAAAGAATATTAGGAAGAGATAATTAAAAGTTTGGTTAAAGTGGATTTTAAGAAGAACCTTAAATGAGTGTGGTGGAACAATGTAGAAGAATAAGGGAATTCTACAGCATGGGACCCTGGTAGCAGTGGCACGGTTGCCAAAACTAGAAAGGAAGGGAGAAATATACAAGCAGTCAGAGTGAGAGAATGGTAAACTCTCAAGGAGTGGAAAGTTTGTAGCATTGGAGAAGTTAAAGATCGGAGATGCCAAAGTCATGGGATAATTTGAACCTCGGGATGATGTTATAAATGAGACATCAGTTTGGGTGATCGTTTGCACCTGCATAGGATCTAGGACAGTTTTATTGAGGTGAACTGTATGGCCAAGATACAAAAGCAACGCATTAATTAAAACCAAAGGTGTCAGAGGGGTGAATAAGGGTTTCAGCAGATTTGGAATGACATGGGTGACATTACAAAGAAGGAAAAAGGCAACCAAGCTCACAATAGGTACAGTGAAAGTGAGCATTTTGATTCAGTCAGCTGGAGCAGAAATGCAATTAATAAGGGTATGAATTTAGTGGTGAGGACCAAGACAATGGTTTAGATATCCCTAAATTTTTGCTGAACAATATTGCTGCTCATTCAAAACCAGAAGTTGACTTAAGCAGCCTTGACATCAGAAAAGCAGCGAGAGTTGAGAAAGACAGTTGTATATAGTCAGTACAGCAAATTTTGTTTTAACCAGCACCTTACAAACCAGCACTCTAGATAAACTAGCAAATATTATATACTTCAATACCAGAAATTTACTGCATTATCGCAATCCCTCTGCCAACAAGTCTATTTTAAGGCAAAGTTGCATTATTATTTAAATGATTTACACTGTAAATACAGTATAATAGTGATGTGTATACCTCCTGCATTATGATTCTATTACTCTGTGTGTTTTTACATTATGTGGACCTCTTGATCAACTGGCCACTCCTGATCCCATAGGTGCCAGTTAATGTTTGCTGTATGTAGGTGGAAGCCCATTCAATGCAAATGACAGCTTGGAGATGAGGAGCAGAAGAAGAATCATTATTTTTCTTCTCCTGAAAACCATCATCAGTGACACAGAACAGGAGGAAAGCAAAGGACATGTGTGTCAAGAGTAATAAACCCTCAATAAAAACAGTTCAATACAAGACTCACACCTTTAACATATTACAAATTTCACAATAACGTGATGATACTGGTAACAAATAGCATTAATAACAGCATTCATCCATATAACAATAGTGACTGCATTTGAGAAATAATTTGTTGATTTGAAAGCACTTTTGCACATTCAGGGGAATATAATAAATACCATATAAATAGCAATGATTCTTTTCCTCTCAACTCAATCAATACATTACTATGCTTTTAACTTGTTTAGTCATTTTCTCTTCTCTTCCTTTCAAGAGAAAATCAACTCCTTCTGGATTACCACTACACAAGTGATATCCTGCAGTATCACACCCAAGCGGTAATGTTCACTTATGCGCCGATTGACAAGTGTTGACAGAATACCTAACAACAAAGTTCAATCTTGTCCTCACCCAATAATCATAAATGAACTTTTTCCAGGAGCATTCAAGGGCAGGACCCCATGACTTTTCACACCCATGTCTACCAAGGGAATACAAGCCAGATTTTATTATTTCATTGCCACCTTGAGATTAGCTAACTCCCCACAGGTTAGGAATTCATGAGATATTGTTGAGAAAGGGGAAAAAAGGTGACTGGAAGGTGGCAAAGCCTTTAAACTAGTAAGATAAGGGAAGGATCTACAAGAGTCTCATGCGGTGCATAACATGCACATACACATTTTATGCAAAAGAATGGTGAAAATTGTAGCTCAAAATGCCTTAGAAATATTACAGTAATACTGGACTCTAAGTACGAGAATGGATAGCATTCTCAGGAGCCAAGAACAAGAACCTTGAAGGTTGTGTTGCCAAACCAATGGCAACATAAGAAATATTTAATGATGTTTGGAAAGGGGGTAAATTCAGTTGTCAACGCCCAGTGTATAATAAACAACAAAGACAGGAACAGGAAGGAGGCACTGCTGAAAGCATATCAGGAGTTAGGCTTTAATTGAAAAGCAGAGCCTCGAGAGTAATAATCTCTGACCGCTATCAATCTCTAATTGTTGTTTGAGCCATGTGTAAATTGGCATGGGGCAGACAAATCAGGAGAATTAACTTCGGGCCGAAGGGCTAGCGTGGGAAAGAGGGATCCACTATCATTGGACATTAGCACTAGGTCAAGAAGAACTGCACTGATGACATGGGGGGGGAAATGATGAGATGATGAAGGCTTTAAACTAATAAAATGAGGCAGGGATCTACATAAAATCTAAGCAGCTTAATGTAAACAACAGAGGACAGCTTAAGAATAAAGCAAAAAAAGATATTGATGGCAAGGGAACTGATAGAGACCCATAACAACATTTAAAAGAATTTTAAACAAAGTGAGAGGCAAACCTATTAAAAGCGAGTGAACAGATGTGAGTGGCAGTGGACACAGTACATATAATAAAGAAAAGGAAGGTGGAGGCAATCATGCATTTGAGGAATCAGATGTCTCAGTAGGGATTGAGACATGATTACAGAAATTAGGAGGAGAAATTAAAAATTACAGATTAAAAAATATTTACAAAAGATACAGGGAAACAAAGGGAAGGTAGGGTAACTGTACATATTCAGGATAACAATGGTTACTGTAAAAAGTGACACAGCTATCAGGAGGGCAAAGATATAATCTATACTGATAAAATTAATGGATAATAATGGATCAATCACACTAATAAAAGCAGTGTGCAGACAACCAAATAGTGGAATGGAGGTGGAGGAAGAACTATGTCCATAAATTGGGAACAGAGCAAAAATGCAGAATAATACTCCTGTTAGAGTGAATGGCCTGTTTCTGTGCCATATTATATGAATGTAGAGAATGGAAATAAGCATTCATCTGCAGTATTAATATTCTGTAATAAAAGCTTCCTAGCTGGTGAACAATATCGCAATAAAACATTTACCTTGCTTGTGAAATTTCCTTGTACTAATCCTTCCACAAAAAGATGAGATTTGAAGTTCTTCACAAATGACATCAGTGCCTCAACTGTTGTTCCACCTTTCATCAAAGTTTGGTGTTTCTGTATTAAAGACCACCGTCCATGTTCTAGAATTGACAGGCGTACATCTCTGGAAAGAGGAAACACAACAGAAATTCTATTTATCAGTCTGGATGCAATACAGTTGGTGAGACAGAAAATCAAGACAAATTTTTAAATTTTTTCAACTGCTTTTTCTAGCAGCTCCTTTGACCCCCTATGTTGCTGGTATCCCCAATTTTTAAAACATCCTGTTCAGATTCATGTTTGGGGCAGGTTGGACTTGAATCCAGGCCTTTAATTCAGAAAATGCTCCACAAAAGCCCTCCATCATATTTTCTAAACAATCTGTTCATAGCTGTCCTGACATTTCTGGAGCAGGTGTGATGAAACCAGGCCTCCTGGAGAGTTAACGACGCTACCACTGCACCACAAGATCCTTTACCTTCTATACACAGAAGTTTCCTAATCAACCTGGGCAAAGACATCGTTTCAGACCTCTGGAGCAGGTGGGGATTTAAAGACAGGCCTCCTGGCCCACAGGTAACAACACAATCACAGCAGCACAAGAGCCCTCAAAACATACTTTTAATCAACCAGTTCGGTCATACCTCCAGACCAGGTGGACTTGAAGTCAAGCCTTCTGGCCCAAAGATAAGGTCACTGCCACATGGGCTCTCTACAACTTGCTCATTGGACATAGATAACAAAGCCTCCAAATGCAAACAATAAGGACGATTGGCAGTGGTGGTATTCAAATCTATACCTCTGAAGGGACTGAAAATTGAATCCAATGCTTTAACTGCTCCATGAGACCATCTAACTTAGACCTTTTCAATCGATCTGTTCAGACATATTATGACATCTCAAACAAATGAGACTTGAATCCTGGTTTTCTGGCTCCGTACCCAAAGGAAGGGACACAACCACTGTGTGACAAGAGCCCTTATGATAGTTATAGATAGTTTCCTTCCCAACCTGCTCAGAGATGTTAAATACTTTCTAAGCAATCTGTTCAGAGATGTTATTACACAACTGGAGCAGGTGGGACTTTAATTTTGGCCTCTGTGCAAACGTAGGGACACTATCACTCCAACATAAGAGCCTCTAACTTAAGAAATGTTAGGTATTTTTCTAATCAACCTGTTTAGAGATGTTATGACAACACATCTAGAGCAGGCGGAACTTAAACCCAGGTGTCCTGATTCAGAGGTAGGGACACTATCAGTACACCACAAGAATCCTCTGCTCTTTGGAGATGTTAGGTATTTTCTAATCAACGTATTCAGAAATATTACGACTCACCTATAGTGCATGTGGGGCTCAAGCCTGGGCCTCTTGATCCAAGAACAGGGATTGTACCACAAGAGCCCCCGCTTTCAATTAATCGATTTTTGAATTCAACCTATTTTTCTCATCAATCCTGTTCAGGATGTGTTGACAAACCTCTGCTGCAGGTGTGTCTGGAATCTGGGCTTCTTGGTCCAGGGTAGGGACACGACCACTGCACCACAAGAGGGTCCCCTCTTCAGGAGGTCTCCGCCCCCTCACCACCACCACCACCAAACCCCAGTGTTAGGGTCTGTCAAAATTCAGTCGGCAATCCCAAAACATGCAAGGAAACTGGCAATGATTCTGTTGAAAGTGATGGCATCTCGCGGTCATATCCAAGCCATTTTTTTTTCCTTTTTTTAACCCAAGTATGTTCCACCACATTTTTATTAATTCTTTTTTCTTCTCTTTAATTCTTTTTATTTAACTTTTCTTTTAACAAAAAAAAACCTATTCAGAGATGTTATTACACACCTCTGGAGCAGGTGGGACTTGAACCCAGGCCTCCCGGTCCAGGGGTAGGGATACTATGATAAGGTATGCCACAAGCGGCAGCCCCAACACCATTCCCTGCAACCACAGGAAATGCTATACGTGGCCCTACGCCTCCCCCCTCACCTCCATTCAAGGCGCAAAACAAACCTTCCACATTAGACAGAGGTTCACATGCACATCTGTCAACCTGGTTTACTGCATCCACTGCTCCTGATGTGGCCTCCTCTACATTGGTGAGATCAAGCGGAAACTCAGAAGCCATTTTGTACAACATCTGCGCTCTGTATGCGATAAACGACAACACCTTCCGGTCGCGAACCATTTTAACTCCCTCTCCCACTCCCTGGGTGACATGTCCATCCTGGGCCTTCTCCAGTGTCACAATGACGCCACCCGCAAACTGGAGGAACAGCACCTCATACTCCGCCTCGGGAGTCTACAGTCCGATGGCCTAAACATGGATTTCACCAGTTTTAAAATTTCATCCCATGTCCAACCCTCCCTCTCATCCCCACCTCCTTGACCTGACACAACCTGTCCATCTTCTCTCCCACCTATCCACCCCTCCCACCTCACTGACCAATCCCCACCACTCCCTACATGCGCTCACCTATCACCATCCCACCTACCTTCTCCAGCCCCACCCTTCCTCTCTCTATTTATTTCTGAGCTCTCTTCCCCCTTCCCACTTCTGAAGAAGGATCCCGACCCAAAAACGTCAACTTTCCTGCTCCTCTGATGCTACCTGGCCTGCTGTGTTCCTCCAGCTCCACACTGTGTTATCTGTAAAGAAAACATTTATTATCCATATTCCTATAACCATAAAATTCCATGTTCTCATCATTAACACAAGTCATCCCTCTTCAGGACATCGAATAACTTCTTCAGGCAAGCATTTTTTTTTTTGTCTGTCTGATAATTGGTGACTTGCACCAACCATTATATTTTAGAAAACCCCTTTCTTTCCCTTAAACTGACAAGGTCAATTCTCAATGACACTCTTTGTTGAATGATTATTGTCTCAAAGTTATTATCAACATAATACTCTTAAGATTTCCTTCAAGAGGTTAAACAAATAGACCCCATATGTACTGCTTCCACCAGTGGCAGTGTTTCAGCAGTTAAGTGTTTTTAACTACTCTTCTTATTATTCCCACCAGGAATATGATAAATGCTGACATAGTGGAATTTCTATCTGGAAGACTGGCATGCAAAGCATCGCTAAAAATGGCCATCTTCTGTACCACCCAAAGTTGGAAAATCTGAGTGTGCACTTCTTGGAGTTTAATTTATTTAATGTTTTATTTGCTTCTACAACTTTCTCAACCACAATGCTATAACTTGATACTCAGTTCCAGTAGGTTACAGTTTGCATTGGGCCTAGTCTAAGTGAAAACCAAACTAATCAAATAAAAAAAAAACAAACTTTTAAACCACTGTGGTTCTACCTTCGATGCAAGATCCTCTTTCGATAATAACTTGTTCATTGGGATCAAATTTATCTGTTCTAAGTAAGATTGTTAATCCAAAGTCCTTCCTGAATTATTCTGCTTGATATTTAATCCTATATATTTAAAAGGCCCCTTGACTTGGAGTGAAAATCTTAAACTCTGCCTTTATCTTATCTTTCTCAAATTCTGATTCTCAGCTCAGATTCTGCAAACTCTCCCACAGAAATTAATCACACAGATGGCTGCCAGCTTCTCACTGTAATACCAGTAGAATATTGTTGGAACTACTTATAGCTGATAACATATGGTGAAAGTTATATTTTCTTTTGCTGATGATGGTTATTGCCTGACAATTAACAACTTATCAACATCATCTTGAACACTGTCTATTCAATCTACTGAGAGTTACAAATGGTACTGAAATTGCAACCAACAGCAAACATCTGTACTTCTGACCTCACGGAAGAGGGCATGTACTTAATTAAAGGTAAACACAACAGCATCTCTTAAAGATGCTGAACAATTTCACTTCAGCGTTGTAGCTCTAAATTGAGTAATCCCAGTGTTGTACTTTTATTTGACTGTACTCACTTTTTATGATTACAACACAGCTTCATCAAAGACCAATTGAGATCGTAAGTCTGGAAGCTCCTATACACATCAGAAATGTATGCATCTATATTTTGCTAAAAATAATGATGAGGAAAATCTGTAGTGTCAGTGAAAATCACTGTCCTAGTGGACCTGGGAAGTTCCAGATGATACACAGGCAAATGCCTTCTTTAGCAAACACTAGAGTACACTATCTTATATCTGCAGTTTTTCAAAGTGACCACCAACATTCATATTATAATTTTGTTCAGGAGAACAGACCAGCAGACTTAACTGTTCAAAATAAAGCAATGACGTGAAAGTGGTCCCCCAATATTTACACAGGTTTGAATCTTATGCTCATAACATATGCATAAGAATCTACAGTGATCTTGCAGGGGATGTGACCAAGATAGTGAAAAGTGACCAAGTTATCAATCAAAATAAATTGAAGTGCCAAAAAAAGTCAGAACTATCCTGAAATTAACTTCACAAACTGACTTAAAAGTACAATTAAAGTGAATTCTTGACTTACTTTCCCAGTTTTTCTGGTTTGATGAGAACATTGAAGTAGCACTTTTTTAATTGTTCCACAATCATCCCAAACACATCTGGAGTAGTTGTAAACTCAGCGAGATAATCAATGATGAGTTGAAACAGAAGCTGGAGACAAACAAAAGTTGTTTAAATGATTCAAGTGTAAGAATTTGCTAAACATCAATTGGATACTGAGAAAACAAATCTTTCACACATTTATTATCAAGTATTTTTCATCATTTGGTACATTATAGTCAAGAATATTCAGAATACATTTTGAAGTTTGAGAAGATTTGCAGCTTGAGTTGTGGATGAGGTTGTAGACATGCTTGCAACCAAACCCATTGGCTCGGTGAACATGTCTACAACCTCAGAATACATTTTCCCACATACTGTATTGAATTTTCAAAATATTTCTTTCTTTCTTTCTTTAGGTAAACACTAGAAGGCGCACAGTACTCCTTATGGGAATATGCCCAATCCAACTTCAGTCTGGGAGCTTACAGATTGCAGCAGCCAAGATCAAAACTCCAAACTCTGACACCCAATATTCCAAGTATGCTGTATGATAATTTGGCCTATGTCATTATTTGCTAGCCATGTTCGGGACAGCAGCCTTTGGTATCTGCTTGAAGATCACCTGCTGCCAAACAGACCTGGCAGTCAAGCTTTTTCAGTGGTTGTCACTACCATTCTCATGTTCTTTGCCTTTGAGTCCTTCCAGGGATCTGCTAAGGATATTTGTGGGATCTTAGTTGGCTGCACACAAATACATTGCTCAGATGACTAATGCCATACTTGCCTAAACAAGTAATTATGTACACACTTCGACACCAATTAAGCCAATCAGAATTAATAGCTGCTCAGGTTTGTAACTTTGGCTGGCTCCCCACAAACGCAGGGTGTCACAAACTACATATAGCACCACAAGTGACTCAGCTGTACAGGATGAGAAGAAGAAGACAGCAGGAGCAAAAGTAAAAAGGGATTCATGAGGGAAACAGACAGGTATTTGTGTGGCCATCAATGTGATTCCAGTATTGTACGTTGCTTCTCTGGTGCCAGGGCTCAGGATGTCGCACAGCGGCTGCAGGATATTCTTCTGGGGCAGGGTGAACACCCAGAGGTCATTGTCCAAATTGGTAGCGATGAGTTAGGTAGGAAGGGGGATGTGGTCCCGCAATCAGAATTGAGGCTGCTAGGTTGAAAGTTAGCAAGCAGGAACTCAAAACATAGTAATCTCCGGATTACTTCCAGTGCCACGTGAAAGTGTGTACAGAAATTGGATGATAAGGCAAATGAATACACGGCTGGAAAGTTGGTGAACGAGGGAGAACTTTCGATTCCTGGGACATTGACAGTGGCTGTGGGGAAGATGGCACTTGTACAGCCAGACAAGTTTCAGCTGAACAGAGCTGGAACTGAGTTCCTTGCAGGGCATTTTGCTATTGCTGTTGGCAAGGCTTTAAAGGAAATTGGCAAGGGTGTGGGGACCAAGGGAAAACAGTAGAGAAAATCAGGCTTCATGAGATACAACTGGCACTAGCATAGACAACTGCAAATTAGTGGGCAATGTCAGAGTAAAGAACAAAAAAGTCTAAATCAGGATAGTAAATAAGATTGGGGAGATACAGGAGCAGATTACCATGTGCAATTTTGATTCTGTGGCTAGAACAGATACCTGGACTCAAAAATGGGCAAGACTGGGTGTTAACTGTTCCTGAGTACTAAGGTCTTTCGGAAAAATGGAAAAGGAAGGAAAAGAGAGGAGAGGTAGCAGCATTTGTTAAGGAGAACATTGCAACCCTGGAGAAATAGGATATCTCACTGGTCAAAGCGCAGAATCAATCTGGCGAGAGCGAAGAAACCAAAAGGGTACTCAAATACATTGTCTATTGACTACCAACCATAGGATGTGGAAGAACAAATATACAGGTAATTTACAGTGCGATGCTAACATTATAAAGGAGTTATAACGAGAGGTTTTAATCACCTGAACACAAACAGGAATACTTGTAGTGTAATGGCAATGAGGGATAAAGATTCCTGAATTGCATGCAGGAAAGCTTCCTATGCATGTTTCCAGTCCACAAGACTGTTGGACTTGGTACTTGGAAACAAGCTGGGTAGTGTCAGTTGGGGAACAGTTGGCGGCACGGTGGCTCAGTGGTTAGCACTGCTGTCTCTCAGCGCCAGGGACTTGGGTTCGATTCCAGCCTCGGGCGACTGTCGGTGTGGAGTTTGCATATTCTCCCCATGTCTGCGTGGGTTTCCTCCAGGTGCTCTGGTTTCCTCGCACGCAGGGTAGGTGGACTGGCTATGCTAAATTGCCCACAGTGCCCAGGGATGTTTAGGTGAGGTGGGTTAGACAAGGGAAATGCAGGGGCAGGAGAATGGGTCTGGGTGGGATGCTCTGCGGAGGGGCAGTGTGGATTTGTTGAGCTGAATGGTCTGTTTCCACACTGTAGGGATTCTATGATTTGGAGACAGTGCTCATTGTACCATAAAGTGCAGGATGATGATGGTGGAGAGTGTCTTGCAACAATCCAGAGTGAGAAAACTCTAAGAATGGATAAGATGCATCCAAGATTTTGAAGGAAAATTAGAAAGGAAATTGCAGGGACACTGGCAACAATCTTTCAATCTTCCCTAGACATGGAAGTAGTGCAGAAGACTGGAAAATTGTAAATATTACCGTTTTATTCCAAAAACAGTTTCTAAGGATAAGCCCAGCAATTACATACCAGTTAAACTTAAATGATAGGGAATCTTCTAGAGACAATGATTTGGGATAGAATTAGTGGTTACGGAAAAGGTGGGTTGATTAGCAAGAGTCAGCATGGATTTCTAAAGGGAAAATTATGTTCAAGTAACTTGTTAAGAACTTTCTGAAGAGGTAACAGAAAGAACAAAAGTATGTCTGTTGATAGGGTACGTATACCCTGTCAGAAGGCTTTTGATACAGTGCCACATAACAGACTAGTGAGAAAATTTATTAAGTCAAGAGTAAAAGGGTCAGTAGCATCATGGATAGAACACTGGCTGAATAACAGACTAATAGTCAACGAATAATTTTCAGATTGGAGGAAGGTTTGTACAAAGTTCCCCAGAAGAGAGTATCGGGACCCCTGCTTTTCTTGAGGTATATTAATAATCTAGATCTTGGTGTGCAGGGGCAATTTCAAAGTTTGCAGATGGCACAAAACTTGAAAGAATTGTAAACTATTAGTAGAACAGCGTAGAACTCCACAAGGATGTAGACAACTTGGTGAATGAACAGATAGATGGCAGATAAGTTTCAATGTAGAGAAGTATGAAGTGATACATTTTGTTAGGAAGGACTTGAAAGTCAAGGTAAACTACAAGGTACAATTCTAATGGGTGGGGGCGTGCAGGAGCAGAGAGACATGGGTGTATACATGCACAAATCATTGAAAAGTGGCAAGACAGGTAGATAGCGCAGAAGTGAGTTGTTCTGGTGGGATGGGCTTCGCTTGAATCATGCAGGCACTAGAATCCAGATGAATCAAATAAATGAGAGGACTTTAAACTAATTGGAGGAGTAGAGGATTTGGGAATTGGAAATGTAGACTTACAATGCAACAGAGTATAGCAGCAAAACAGGACAGCTATTGAAAAACAATACCCGGAGTGGTACAAGAAGGCACAGAGCATAGAAACATAGAAAAACAGCAGTAAAAAGGGTCAAACATGAAAATAATGGTAAAATGCCAAAATGAATGGCTCTTTATTGAATGTGCACAGCATTTGGAACAAATAAATGAAGTAACTGCACAAATACAGGTTAATAGCTGTGATCTGTGATCTATGATCTATGATCTATTTGGCTGTTAGCCACAGAGACATGGTTACAAGCAGATCAAAGCTGGGAACTAAGTATTAAGTGGTATATGACTTTTCAAAAAGATTGACAGGAAGGAAACAGTGGAGTAGTAGCAATGTTGGTATAGCATGGAATAAGTAAGATAACAAGAAATGATCTTGAATCTGAAGATACAGAATCCATATGGAGAAAATAAGAAATAAAAATGGTAAGAAGACACTGGTAGGTGTGGTCTATAGGCTCCCTAACAGTAGCTATATGGTGAAACAGAGAATAAACCAGGAGCTAATGAAGGCACATAACAAAGGCAGGACATTATTCATTGGTGATTTGAATCTCCATGTAGATTCAGATAGTCAGATTGGCAGAGGAAGCCAGGAAGAAGAATTCATGAAGTTTATTCAGGACTATTTCCAAGAGCAATACATTGTGAATCTAATCAGGGGTCTAGTTTTGGGTCTGACGATGTGTAATGAGGATTAACAAAAGATGTCAGAGTAAAAGATCCCCGCAGAAGCAGTGACCATAACATGGGGAAATTTAGCATCCAATTTCAGGAGGGGGAGCTTGGAGTGGAAATAGCAATGCTAAGCCTAAATAAAGATAATTACAAAGGAATGAGGACAGATCTGGCTACAGTGGTCTGGAAAAGGAATTCAGGAGCAAAATCGTTGAGAATCAATGGCATATGATGTTTAAGAAAATAGTTCATGGCTCAAAAGGATATTCTCGTGAGGAAGAATGATTCTAGGAAGGGGTAAGCCAACCAGGGTTAGCTCGGGAAGTTAAGGGGAGCATCAGATTGAAAGAAGAAAAAACATACAATGTGGCAAAGATAAGTGATAAGCCAGAGGATTCAGAAAGTCATATAGATCTCCAGGACCGAAAAAGGCACTGCGGCTCATCAAGTCTGCATCAGTTAAAAACAAGCACCTAACTATTCTAATTCTTTATCCAGCCCTTGGCCCATAGCCTTGTATGCATCAACATCGCAAGTGCACATCAAAATATTTAAATGTTGAGGGTTTCTGCCTCTACCACCCTTACAGGCAGTGAATTCCAGATTCCCACCATCCTCTGGGTGAAAAACATTTTCCCCATAATCTTCTCTAAACCTACTATCCCTTACCTTAAATCTATGACCCCGGTCATTGATTCCTCCATCAAGAGGAAAAGTTTCTTCTGGTCTACCCCATTTATACCGCTTTTAACTTTACATATCTCAATCATGCCCCCCTCAATATCCTCTGCACTAAGGAAAACAATCCCAGTCTGTCCAGTC